TTTTTCTCTGTTTCTCTTTGTAAGTGATGTTGTAGCAAATTATTTTTATTTTACCGAGCACCGAATCGAATGATTCGTTTTCCGGGTCGATCTCTCGAGGAAGACGGTTCGGAATTTAGTATTGGTATCGATAACACATAAAAGCAAAATAAATTCTACACATTCTAATCACGATAGGGTTGGAATATTATCAACTAAGAAGTAACAAAAGACGATAATCTACCTAAAAATATAAACGATAAAAAGATAAACGAGCTAGGGTATCGGGAATAATCGCTTCCGGTTCTACACACATTTAACGGCAATTAATAACTCGGTTAAGTGGTTCGACTAACTAACTCATTTAGCGGTTTAACCTCACTAACTCTCGTAATATGAGGTTAAACATAAAAGAGCAAATTAACGAAACAATTAACACATAGACAATACGTCTCCGAACATGTCTACTCTAAACGAGCTAAATTCCACCAATTTCTCCCCTCTCAGTTTTGAAATCGATTATCTCTACGACTCCTCCCCTTTCAGTTCTAAAAGTCGCAATTCGTAGAATTAACAAACTGTAACTCAACAAATCAATATTCACTCACAAATCAAAGTGTCACTCTTTGATTATATCTATAAGTTAACTAAGTGTCACTCTTAGGTTATAACAATTTATCGAGTATGATTTTATCAATTCATAATTAAAACAACTTGTCAAGATTGAGATATCGTCATGCACATAAATGAGAACAAACCGGAATAATTATCCCTTAACCCTAGCTAGAGGATTAGCTACTCATAATTGATTCAACACAACAAAGTATTTCTCCTAAATTAGCCATTATGCATGAATTAATTCAAAGAGAAATTAAACTTACAATCAATCCAAGTCCAAGAGTTGAATCCATAATACAAGCTTAATTCTTGAAAGAAAATAAAATAAAGTGTTGGAAGAAGAAAGAAGAAGAAGAAAGAGAGGAGAGGAGTAGAGGGGAGAGGGGGAAGAACCCCTCTAGGTTCAAGCATGAAAGGTTGTTCCTCTACATGGTAATGGAGGATGTATTTATAGTGTTTCACCTCCAAAATTCAGATGTAAGTGCCCAAAAACATGCTCACAATTTGCCACTATCACCACTAAGGAGGAAAAGAGGGAGAAAAAGCCATAATTTCAGCAAACTGCAGGACTCGCGGCCGCGGAGGAACTCGTGGCCCGCGACTATAAGATCTCGCGGCCACGACATGCTCCGCGGCCCGCGATGAAGGTAATCTCGCGGCCGCGACATGTCCCACGGCCGCGACTTCGGGAAGCAGGAAAATTGGTGTTCTGACTCGTGCCCCGCGACATTGCTCGCCGCTCGCGATCAACCTTCGCGCCCGTGACTTTCCTCATGGCCAGCGATGAGGGAACTTTTCGATCCATTGTTCGGGCTCGTATGCGCTTATCCGGAATCGGAATTCGATTCTGTTTTTTCCTAATTGTAGCCAACGAAGCCCTCTACGCATTTGTTTTCTCAAATCCAACTTATTATTCAAAACTTATTCACCCAAAGCTTTTAACTTCAAGTTGACGGCTTCCGCGCACGAATTCGCATATTGGGCCCGTCCGGAATCGTTCGAACTCGATATTGGATTCCGCTTTTTCCTATGTGTAGCTAAGAAATTCATCTATCAAACCATGATTTCCCGACCCATTTTCGAGCTAAATCGATTCCTCACAGGGCTTCTGACCTGCACACTAAAAACAAGAAGAAAAACGTAGAAAAACGACAAAATACACGAAAAACACATAGAAAGCCAAAATAGAACAAGACACACAATAAACTATAAAATGAAACAAAAACTAACAAATAGACCTAAAACGGGGGAAAATGAACGACAAAATAGTACAGAAAAACGTAACAAAAATGATCACAACAAGTGATGTTGTTATAAATAAGACATAATATTACGCACAATTATTTGTTACAAGTGCTATTAACTTTAATTTAGAAACAATTGACCTCGTACCAATTGGATAATCACTTATTTCTTATTTAATATGATGATGATCCACACATCACAAGGACAAAACTGAACTTTAAGGGGCGATTGGGTATAAATTAAACCTGATTTTCATTAGATTTTGAGTGAAAGTAAGTTAATTTTAAATAAAGACGATTGAGTGAAAGATTGAGTGCGATTTTAAGTTTGTATTTAAATAATATTTAAAATTTATAATATATATAAATGAAGTAGCCAAGGAAAAATTCTCCCCTCCAAAACTATATTTAATATGATGAATAAATTTTATTGATTCGTATGTATCACTTGTTATTAAAACAATAAGAAATTTTATTTGTTACAAATAAAAAATAAAAAAAAAATAATTTGTGGTTCTTCCCCTTCCTCGCATCTTCCCCTGTCGCCTTCTTCCCCGCATCTCACATCTCTGTAAATACTCTGTCGCCTGCCCGGTAGGGCACGTCGAGTACTCGGTGGTGGCTCTTCTGGGCCCTGCAGCTCGCCACCGAGAGCTGCGCTGCTAGAGGGGCTTTTTCGCCGGGGAGAAGCTCGCGCCGTTTTCCGTGTTCAGCTTCTAGTGCCGGAAGCAAGTGGCGGGTGTTCGTTCTCCTCCGGTATCTCCGCAGCGGTGGCCTCCGGCGCTCTCTTGGAGTGAGCTGCGACCCCAATTTTTTAATTTAGGGTTTGGGGTGGAGATAGGGTTCTGGCCAAATTGGATTCTCCTGATCCTGTTACAGAGCATAGGAGCCATGGTGGACAACGATTGAAGGGTGGGTGTTGACCCTTGGCCTCGCAGTCGCCGGACGGGTGGGTGTGGAGCTTTGGAGTCGCGGTCGCCTGAGATCGAATGACTGGGCTTCTGTGCTTGTTGGATGGGTTGGGCTTGGCTGGTTCGGGCTGGGCAGGGTTGGTTTGCGCTTTCATGGGCTGGGCTGAGCTGGAGCAGGCTGGGCTGGGCTAGGTTGGGCCGGTTGGCCAGGTGTCTTTGTCTCTGGGTGACAGTGGAGTTGTTCGTCTGGACGAGGGTAAGGTCCGTTGGTTCTTGACTCCGTTAGGCGTTCTCTTGCAGTTTTTGGGTCGGGATCCTGGACCGAGACTTTGTCGTTGTTGTGCTCGATGTGGTTTTCTGCATTGGGAAGGGCTCCCGTTTTATTTATTTTCTGTTGTAGTTTTGGTTGGTCTGTGTTTTTATTATTGTGTTGTTTAGGATTGTATTTTTGGTCTGGACCGTGGGCCACTGTGCACCCGAGTGTCACCTAATTATCCTGGTTGGATCCGACACTCGGACATTACCATGTTGGGTCTTTTTTAGTTTTTTTAGTTGTTTTAGTTGTTCGAGTAGTTGGTTAGTTTAGTTTGCGAGTTTTAATTCTAGCGTTGCTAGTCGGGATTCTAGGCGGTCTTCTGACCTGTTCTCCCACTTTTCAGCTGTTGGTTGTTCTCATTCAGCTAGGAGCTGCTTGTATTCGCACATTTGTGCACTTTTGATTTATAATAATATCTATCGTTTTGGGGAAAGAAAATAAATAAAAAAAATATTAATAATTATGTATTGGAAATTTGTCTTCCAATTTCAATGAATAAATAATTGGTTTAAACCATATCTAATACTTTGAAATACATTTTGTTAATTTATATGTATTATGTACTAATTATTGTGAATTTACACTCCAATTTAAAATTAGACATTTTTCTCTGTTTCCCTTTGTAAGTAATGTTGTTATAAATAAGACAATATTACGCACCATTATTGTCAAATCCAGTCCTCCCTCCCCCCTCCCCCCAAACTGGATCGGACGAGTGTGCGATGCCAGATGCTAAACGACGATTGATACATAAAATATAGGTCAATACGGAAGAATAAAATTAAAATTAGAATTAAGAATCGGAAACAAACTTAGCCCGGCGAAACAAAGTTTGGAAATTTAAAATTTGAATCATATAATTTTTACCTCTTTTTTTATATTTATATTGCAAAAATAGCATCGAAAATTTTTAGGTACAACTCAAACACTAGGTTGTAGCGAAAATAGCTACAGTAAAAAATATTGGTACATTGGTTATTATAACTTTTCACTTCAATGAGTGTTCTCGTCTCACTCGATCTGGATGTCAGCTCCTTGTCATTGGATCGCTTCTCATCTAGGGGGGTTGAAAATAAGAAAACAGCTTCTCGTCTTCCCCATTGAGTTGATTACAACTGATCTTGTTGAGCTTTATAATCTTAGTGTTTGTAATGCTACTGTTTTATGTTTCTACTAAGTTTGGTATTTGTTTTCTTTGGGCTTGTGTGCGTTTTACGGTTGGATTGATTTCTTTCCCGTGCCTCTTGGGTTGCTTGTTGGGCCCTTGGTGGTTGTAATCATTTGATTAACGGTGTACTCTTTATTTGAGTATTATAAAAGTTGTTTATTTACCGTTGGAAAAAAGGAAAAAAAAAAAAGAAAAATAGAAAAACAGGTGGGGTGAGACGAAATTCTAAGTGAAGGGTGACAGTGTGCAGAGTGTGGCTTTAGTTTGATAAAGTCATTGATGCATGCTTAAAGAAGATTTGTATTTATCACATTGTAATAAATGTTATTGTTTTGAAACGAAATATTTGAAATCCTTAGATAAATATAAATAACTCTCAAACATAACCATATGATACCGAAACAGTAATTTCAATCCCCGTGGATGTTGGGTTCTATGAGGAACGTCATCGATGTACACATTCGAATCTATTAAAAATAAATCCTTACGCAGCGAAATCTATATTTAGGATTAGGACTTATGGTTTAAAATTTTTGCCGAATCTAGGTCGTTTCTGATTTCCGCTGTTATAGATCTTCTGAACCTCAGAGTCCGTTGGGCAGTCGGACTTCACCTCGTCATCACGTCTTTGGTTGCTCGTCGGGCTCGTTGGACCAGTCTGGACCGAGTCTGAACCAGGTTGGACTGGGCTGGGCCGAGTCTGGTGACTGGTCTGCGGAATAGGCCGACGCTGCACGAGTCACTGGACTGCGGACTGCATAGGCATGGGCCGCTTAAACATAGGACAGGTTGCCTTGGCACACGAGTCGCGAGAAAAAATCGAGGGTCGCGCACTGGGGCTCTGCAGAAGACTCGGGTTGCACGCGGGAAGCTACGGGGATGAACGTTGTCTGCACGGGTCACACGCGGTCGGCCCAGGCACTATGATGTCTGCGTGGGTCTCCCGGCGCGAGCTGGGCGCGGCTGTGCGCGAGCGGTGCTTGGGTGACGCGTGGGTCTCCAGCACCGGCGTGTACGGCTGCGGCTGGTGGTCCTGGGCACGTCGGTGGATGGGGCTTTCTCTGGTGGTCGTCCTCTCTAATTTTCGTGGTCATTCGAGGTGTTGCAAGACAATATATATTCGACGGGATGAACACACACACACACACACACACACACACACACATATATATATATATATATATATATATATATTCGCTGGGATACAAATATAGAACCTTAGATCTTCTATTGTATGATCTTCACACCATCTCCAATTATTCTTAATTGTAACTTCAAAAGCCTCACGATTTTATCTCGAATTTCTTTTCCATAAAACCTCTCGATTTTATCCGAATTTTTTCGAGTAGAAGAACTCTCTTTTTTCTCAAAATTTTAGACGTGTGAAAACTAATCCATGCGTTTAGAATCAGAATTTTTATGTGAGGAATAATCCATCTTGAAGCGAGGGCACTTGGTATATTTATAAATTACAACAGAAACCTTTAAGAGGTGCTAAATATATGCTTCTCCAAACAGGAACAAGAAGCCTTTTGTTTTCCAACTTATTAACTTTCTAGAAGTCCTTAAGTCTTCCAACTTGTTGACCTTTTAGAAGACTTGTTAATATTCCTTATTTGATAACATTACACTAGAGTAATTATTGATCTCCTCATTTAGCTTTGAATTACAATTAATTCATCTCCTGACTAATTGCTCGATTTACCTCCCCATGTTTAAGATATAATGTCTATTGATTAATTTAATTACTGATAATATAATTAATCAATTTATTTTTATTTTTATCTAAAATTAGCACCAATCAATACTTTATTATTATGTCGGAAATTAATCCACTAGCCGGGCTTGACATAATAATCTTTCTTAAGCTCATTTCGGGGACGTCATCAACCCGGCGGACTGGGATACAGTGACTGTAAACAATCTTAACGGCACATCATGTAAACAACATCACTTAGCAAAGTATCGAGTATGTCAACCTAACAGAATACGTATCACCCTTGGTAAATCAAATAAGTAAGTGTTGAATACATATGCCGTTTATTGTCTTACGGGTTAAGATTACGCAACAATTACTGAGGTACAGATTGTTTATTTGGTCAGTATAAAATAATCTTATCCTCCTGTAGGTCCGTTCAATACATGCCAGATGTACACGTGTAATTCATTACTCAAAGATCAACTAACTCGAAAATTACATTACAGCCTTTCGCGACAGTAGTTCAATTTTGTCTAGACCGTGAACAAATATTTATATTTTACAAGACACCGATAATGTGATCTTTTTGTTCGACACATTGAACCCCATTGTCTACAATACAAAATAAAAGAACTATGTTCGCATAAATAAATAAACTACGAACATCAACTTGACTAAAGACACACATCTCATTCAAAATAGATTTGGGGGTAATCACAATGCCGATCTTCTATAATATACTCCAATAGTTGATTGATGCTAAATCACATATCAATACTAACACAAGCATAATAGACTTCTTTCTGAACAAATCGATTTAATTTGGTTTCTACGCTCTTTCTTATGACACCCAACAGTGTAGGTGTTAGCCTCAGTATGAGTTGAAGCTCTAATATTAAGCCATCACTAAGGATTTGAGTCGCTGCTCCTTTAGTGGGCCAAAGCCCCTTTAGTAGTATATTAGGCTAGTTCTTTTATCCAGTTTGAAGGGATGTTTGAACCCTAACTTGAATTTCTCTATGAATTTAAGGATTTATATTTATCGTTAATTAATAAAGATGTCGTATTTATTTTGTTGATGAGTTGATTCATGTTATCCGTGTTTAATGTTTAATGATTATGAGTGTTTGGTTTAGTTTGACCAGCTACGTTGTAATTCATAGTTTAATTGCTAGATTCGGGACTTTAATCCGTAATTGTTATTGTCTCGTTTCGTTAGTAGTAAACTAGGGGTCGTGCATTTCTAGGGTAACGTGAACATAAGTTAAATGGTCCGAGCTTTTGTGCCCGTTGCTTAGACTGATCTATTTTTCTAGGAATTAATACTGCTAGTGCATTAAATCTAGAGAGCTTATTCTAGGTTGTCCACTAGTTAGGTTTAGTCGAAGAGCTTATTTCGATTAAATATTCGGTAAGGGAAAATTTGGTTAACAGAGCTTGTTGTTAGCTAGAGTTGGTAATTCATTAGCAATTTAAAGAAAGCGTCGAAATTGAATTAACAGTAAATTTAGATTGGGTGATAACTGAACCGAAAACTGGATTTCTCTCATTTTATTTTATTTCTTTTGTTATTTTTATTTTTATCAATCCCCCCATCTTTTATTGCTTTCATAGTTTAATTTAATTAATACGAGATTGTCACAATTTAATTCCTACTCCTCGTAGGATCGACCTTTACTTGCCGCTACTACTAGTTAGTGGAGGTTTGTCAAGGAAAACTTTATAAATTTAAATTTTCCGCGTCGCGACGCGAGGTCAGTCATAGTCCAAACAACATTACAAGCACCAATATAAAACAAAAACACAACATCAACAAACCTATTACAAAGCAGGATCAGAAGCTAACACTTTTAGAATGGAACTGAAAGTAGCTCTTGACACCAGCTTCTACACAACATCTGAGTTTCCCACCTTGCAAGTCACTGTCCTCCAACCATGTTGCAGTCCAAAACCCATCTGACAACAAGTAAGAGCACCCATATGATGATCATCGACTATCACTCTTGAAGCCCACCAATTGTCTTCAATAATTTCATTGTGCAACAACATTCCACCTAGTTTTTATTGTTTTACTTCTCCGATAAGATTGTAACTTTTTCAGGTATTATACTTATGGATGTGACTAGAGACTTGGAGATTAAAAGTTGGTAACTTTCATGAGTAGAATAGTCAATCATGCTCAGATAATAGGGACCGTATCATTTTGTTGTTGATTGTGTAAGAGAGAATTGATTGATATCTCGATTAGTTTATCGCAAGTGACGATTATTTGATTGTGTTAGTGGTTTTATACAACACATATATAAATATATATATAGGACTAACCTTTATGTAGCGGAAGCGAAAACATGCCCGTATCTTTTATCCGACGGCTACTAGAGTCGTTGGTATCCTCCACGCTCTCAAAACCCGAGCCGCCTTGTGATGGTTTCGACTCAACAAGAGAATATGCACTAAATAAAGACTTATAGTATTTGTGTTGCTTTGTTCTTTATTCTCCACACTTTAAGATGCACAAAGCATCTACTTATATAGTTGTCTCTCGAAGAGACAAATTCAATGAAGAATGAACTCCAAACTACATAACGTAGTTACTTAATGGAGTTATTTAATAATGTCATTAAGTGGGTGTTTAATTAATTTAACTGATGAAATTAATTACAAACAACACTCCCACTCAGCCACTTAAGCCGAGACTGTAACTAACATCTTTACTAGCAAATACTCTTGCCTCATACGGGTAATAGAGCGTGTGACCAAATGCAACAATAACAGCATTATACTAAGTCACCATCTAACTAATATAACACTTTCATACTTACGAAAACCTCTAACTGTTCAAAATCACCAATAGCATACACTGTCCCTATATGCTATATACACAACATGGTTATATTCAAATATAACCGCCCGAACTAATGTGGTGAAGTTGAATAAGTTATTTCTTAAACACTAATGAAAATTCATCTCAACTTAATTGCTTTCCTAACATGCTCCGTCGAACTGTATCGATCATAGCTCTTGGAGGACATATTAAAGTAGCAACACTAAGTCTCAATTTCATAACATAGTTCTAAGTCAAAAGGCTTCGTACGAAGTTATACAACAAAATCCATAGGATTCACACCTTGACAAAGTAGGGAATCATTTGTCAATCCTTAACGGTCGTTCAAAAGCACACGCAGTATGATATACGTGTCATAACATAGCTTCCACTATGATGGGCATGTCACTCTACTATGCTATACGAATATGTAGTCTAGATACTACTCAAGTATTTAACCCGAGCCACTTGATAAATATACTTAATAATTTATCTTCCACTCGAGATTCGGCTTCAAGGCTTTGATATGAAATCAGGACTATTTCATATTCGACTCGATAGAGTCTCATCTTAGACTTACTAAGGCGACTGAAAAATATATTTATACAACAAATGTGTAAATACAATTCATATTATATACACTTAATATGAATATGACATAGTCTCATCCTATTACTCACAACTAATGTGATAGGGAGATTACCTGTGTGATAAGCATAATCAAAAGCCTGGTGACATCTTTACTCATGCCTACTTATGCAACATATGCTAAAGAACATATCAAAGAACAACAAATTTCATATATGTTCGGTGTAACATTATACACATCCATTATCCCACAAAAATAAAATTAAAACCTACGCAAACCAAGACTCTTCACATGAGTTTGGAAAGCATCTCTGCGAATAGGTTTAGTTAAATGATCAGCTATCATTTTATTTGTGGGTATATACTTAATGATAACTTCTTTATTTTTTATTGCGTCTCGTACAAAATGATAACGCCTTTTGATATGCTTGGTTTTTCTGTGAAACTTCGGATCCTGGGCATACTGGATAGCAACAGTATTATCACAATGCATTTCTACAGGTTCATCAACCTTTGGGGTGAGGTTGAGATCTTGTACAAAATTCCTTAACCATATTGCCTCTTGAACGGCAATGCAACTGGAAACATACTCAGCTTCCATAGTCGAAAGTTAAATGCAATCTTGCTTTTTACTGCACCAGGATATTGCACCTCCACCAAATATAGAAGCATATCCTGAAGTTGACTTTGACTCATCCAGATCACCACCCCAATCAGCATCCGAGTATCCTTTTAATTTCAAGGACCCACCTTGATAGCAAAATACCAAGTCACTTGTACCACGTAGATACCGCAAGATTCTCTTGACAGCTTGCCAATGTGCAAGCCCAGGGTTGCTTTGGTAACGACTTACCAAGCTAACTGCGAAGCAGATGTCTGGCTGTGTACATAACATAGCATGCATCAAGATTCCTACTGCACTAGCATATGGAACATTGCTCATTTTATGTTTTTCTTCATCTGTTTTCGGACATTGGTCAAGACTTAA